ACCTTACTATTTAAAGTAAAACGAGTAGCTCCCCACAGGGCTGCTATGTTACTATGGGAACTAAAAGAATTTAGGGGCTCCCCACAGGGTTATTACACGAGTCACCGGAAGGGTGAACCCAGGGGATTTATTTACAATGTAATGAAGAATTTCAGTTTGTCACAGTTTCCAATATTCTGGATTGCAGTTATTTTTTATACATTTTCTTAGGAAAAAAATATTTTGTTATTTATAATATAAGTTAAAAAATTGTTTTTATACTCAACAGGCAATAATTTAAAAGAAGAGGCAGGTATTGCGGTCTGATGGATGCTTAAAAACGTTTTCTAATAAAAGAGACATTGTATCACCTTTGTTAATACCAATACTTTTTATGGGTTTTTTTTCATTTCTGTTTTTTTTTTACTTTCCTAAACTTATATTATTAATTATTTTTTCCGAAACTAAAGATCCTTGTAACTTTTTTAATATAAAATAATGTTCATGATGTACAATAGTAATTAAGTGTTTTAAATAAACTGTTAGTTAACTTGAAATTTTCTGTTGTAATAAAATATATGGAGATAACGGTTAGTATTCAAGCCAAACGTCCAATAGACATTTCTAAAGCATTAGAGGTAGGATCAGATGTCATGGAGGAGTAAGCATACCCTGCCAACCGGGCACACTGTAGCAAAAGAGGAACATTGGTGCAAAGTCTAAGCGAAGACATATACTGTAAAACTTTTCATCAAATGTAAATACAAATGATTAATTTTATATTCAACTGCGATATGACGGACTTTAATCATTCTATAGTTTTTTAACACACAAAAAATATCAAATTTATCAGATCCATGTATGCGAAGAAAAAGTGTCTTCATTCTTTGTTTTGATAATGTTGTTCTCTTACTGACGTGCATCGTCCAAGACTCTTATGTGAACTATTAGAGGAGGTTAAATTGTTTTGTTATTACAAAACCTCAAAATTCTAGTATGTGTGTGATCAGAAATCAACGGAATTACAAAATCTAAAAAAATAAATACATATCTGCAAACTGGGTTAAAGCAAGGGTTCCTGAAAAGATCAGAGGTTGGATAAGGTGCATAGGACGAGTACACACCCGGTAACTGGTCACATCCGTGTTGTATTTTATCAGGTAGACCGGAAATTCCTTAGTTAAAGAGCTTAAGTGCAGACACAAAAACTTTACAACACAACTCAACGATAGTTTTAAATTATAACCAGGTCATTAAAATCACCATAGAATTTACGAAATACTTACTTTGACCAAGGTTCATAGATGACGTCAAATCGGTAAAAGAACAAAGTGGTTACCTTCATAAATAAGAATCCCTGTGACATGATCCACAAGATTACTGATCGTCGAATTGGAGGTTTGAGATTTTAACTTTATTTTCATTTGATATTTGTAACACTTCAATTAAGAAAATTGGATGTTTGGAGACTTCTTTTTCAGGTATATTTTTAGTATTTATTCATACATTGTTTAATAAAAAATCATTGAAAGATAAAGGGACAATACGTATAAGGGGTTGACAATTCCAGATCTTAGTAGAGACATCTCTTATTATTATTATATCCATGTACGTAATTACTAGATACTTTGGAGCAGAAAGGTTAAGCCTACACAGAAAAAAAAATCATTACTTTTTTAAGGTACTGTTTTGTATTTAAAATTATGTTTCTGAACTTTAAACGCGTCATGCACATACCATTTGTTAATAGCTTTCTTGCAGTTGTTTCCTAGATCATGTTTTAACAACATGGGTCCAAATTTAGTTTTTTTTTTAATAGAAACATATGCCCACGGGCCTTATAGGTCACCTGAGTATTTCAAACAATTATATTTGGTTCGTGTTTTAAAACAGAGGTCATGAAATTCACAATTCAAAATTTTGAAAGAGGCACCATTGCTTATCATAATTATAACCTTAGTATGCTTACTCTATTTAATTAATACCCAGAGTAACAAAGAGAAAATGCACTTCCACTTTATACCAAGTTGTACACAAAGAACCCCTAACCCTGGGGCCATAAATTCACAATTTCGAAGAGGAACTCTTCCTCATCATAACTATGAACTTAGTACTTAGTTACTTTAATGAAAAAATGGAGATCTGCTTTAAAACCACAAAACCAAAAAAAAAACTACTAAACATGCAGGAACCATCAGGTGGTTTTATATGAGAGAATCATTAGATGATCTCATATGCAAGAAACTTTATTATGATGCTTCAGATGTATATGCAGGAACGATTAAGTGATGCTATACGTTATAATTATTTTTTTTAAAGTCGTCGAGTAAACCTTGCCTTAATAAGTGTTTCATGTAACAAAGGACCTTGCATTTAATAATTTTAAGCATAATTAATCGCTTTCAAATTCAAAGAACACCCACATTTAGCAGATATAAGTTTGCTAAAGACACGTTTTTTTAATTCAAGCGCGTATATATGGTCAACGATTCAAATGTGAATATTGATAAGGTAATTGCAAAATATAATTAACATGCAATGTATATTAAGCATATTAAAAACCTTTGTTCGCCATAAAAAGGGGAGTGATTGAAGAAAAGGAAGAACATATTTTTTAAGGGTTCGGATAAATCTCTTTCAAATTAAAGAATCACCAGCTTAATCCTTTATATGTCGTCATAGTTTTATACGTGAAAAAAGACAGAAAACTTTTATTTTCTAATTCATATATCTAATTTCAGGAAAACTTAACTAGAATCTGTCTGTCTACAATTGTTTTAGATGTTTTAATATTTCTCTCTAAAACCTTTCTTTACGCTGATTTCACAGAATGCCAAGCTTATTTGATTGGAGTTACGTATTGTGTTTGTTTTGTCTTATTTTTATGTAAGAGTTATTTCTTTTTCCCGACCAGGTTTGTGTATGAGCGTACAGAGACTGTAGAGCCCGACTGGTGGGAGTCTTTTGAAGAGACGTTACTTTTAACATAAACAGATTGGACATTCTTTTGGGGATCGGGGCCAAATTATCCAAGATTAATGGTAAATATCACACTCTCCTGGATTTCAATATTATAATAATGTTTATGATTGTTTATATTTGTATAAAAAGGCGAAGCCCGTTATGCTAAAATTATCCCATGTTTCCCACTATTGTTGATGTCCCTGGCATACACTCATAACTAGACAGTGATTCCTTATATTTCCACTTCATTGTGAAATAAAATTGTAGACTTAGACATTAAAACTGTACACTAAAGATTTGAATTACACGAAGACTTCCATGCCAATTTCAATAGTCCTCGCACAATGACGTTAAACACAAAGGTAGCCGCACAAGATTTTCATGCATATTTGGCTTTCTAAGAGTCAGATACAGAGACAGACGCGCACGAGATTTGCATGCGTATTAGGCCTCCTTAGCTGCTGACCCATCGATCTGCCTAATTTACATTCCGGCAGAATTATCAAGAAATAAATTCCCCCAACTTTCAAACAGTTATCACAGGAAAAAAAGATAGAAATGGAAATATTATCTTTTCAAACACTGTAAATCTCGTTCTCCTTTATCCTTTGAATTCGGATCAATTTAAAAATCGAGACTAAATCTAGACGTCCATGTTACAGTATCTTTCCAATTCTTATAGAGTTTAATTCAAGGTTTGTAAATATCCATTTACTTTAAAAAGTACTCCTCTGGTGGGGGTGAAATATGTGTAAAATGATAAATACTTTATCATATTATTTTTCTTTTAAAAGTAGACTCATAACTGCAACGATGTAACGTTCAGCTACTGTTTCTTTGCAAAGACGGCCAGGTACAGTTATGAGCTTTATAATTCTTTAATAAAAATCTAAATTAAATGATAGCACTATTATTTTTATCCCCCTGTCTTGTCTATGTGATTTTTTTCTTTGAAAAAGAACTCTTTTTTTCTAAGACACTTTTAAGTTGAAAAGGCATTGCAGCAGCTATTAACTCTAGCTACAGAGAATGCAGCGTTATGGTTTTATATTTTAGTTGTAGATTAAAATGCAACAGATCCCTTAAATACCAAATTAAATATTGAGCAATTTACGGTGTTTTCTGTGCATGTTTGGGGTATTTTTTCATCTTTCCATCACTTTTATCACTACATTTTATTCCAAATAATAGATTTATTCTATAATCAACATGTATTTTTTCATCCACTTATCTGCCCTTTATTCAAGGCGTCCTTTGACTCCTCCCTCCAAACCAAGAAAAAAAAAATAATAGAAATAAAATTAAAAAATAAAAATTTCAAAAAATCGTGATTAATTTTTGTAAGATATCAGGAAATTTCAAAAAAAAAATTATTAGTCTGCAGACACAATGATAAAGGGAATGAAAGTGGATACAATCTACAGGTTGGTAAAAGAGTATTTAGCAATTAGGAAAGGAAAGGCGGTTGATTTTTCAATGCAGGAAAGCAGAGAAATATACCCCCAAGATGTGAAAGAAATCGCATAAATTGCAAAATGTTTACACTGAGGGATCTATAGCATTTTTTTTTCTAAAATACTAAAATATTTATGGATATAACACTCAAGTTTCTGAACCTAGCTTATAAACTTCAAATTTCAATCTGCTCAAAGTCAGCTTGACGCGTACGTTTGATTTTCACTTACTCAGTTGCTCTGTGGCGATTTTCAACGTACATGACATCAAACTAAATCATATCATACTTGGTTCTCCTTTTTATTGATTTGGCATTCAAAAAAGAGCATCTCTCACACACTTCTTATACCAAAAAACATGTGCAACTAATGAGAAATATTTGTATATAAAAATAAATCTACCTAATAAAACTAGACACAGTCTATGGACCTAGTTGATTAATAGAGTTATATACTATTTTTCCCTGTAAATGGACCTTTCACGGGGTTCAGTTAAAATTCATGGAGTGTATAAAAAACCAGTCTGTTTGTTGTTTGTATACTTTACAATACTATTAGATAAATAATAAAATGAAAATTATAAATATAAAAAACCAGAAATAATTTATTTTGTACAAAGCTTTATGAGATTATCTTGTTTTAGCAAGTAAGGTTATAACACTTTTTCAGAATATAATAGTTAAGGCAATAAATTCGTAAATTCATTAAATACAACAATATTATATCATATTAAAATTTGCTACTTTGTTACATTTATATAGAAACCACCATTATGTGAAGAATAAAGTCATCATCATTTATTATAGAAGAATTTGACTTTGTATGTACTTTGTATGTAAATGTATTAAACATAACTATAAAAGATAATCAATGTTTAAACTTCAATATACCTTTTTCAATCAATGCACATGTACAATACACATCAATAAATTGGATTAAATATTCACTTTGCATTATACATTTTTTTTAAATAAATAAGATATAACACAGTCAGTGAGCCTTTATCATCATGACAGTTTCCTTTATATCTCTACCATATTTCAATGTAGTATACCACGGATAGAACCAGTTTGCCGAGGACCATTGACCGTTGAGGAAGGCCCGGTGACACATGTTAAACCACCAGCCTCCTCTGTGATTAGCTGCACAGTTATTACTAGATCTGTCGTGGTCTCTGTCCGGAGTGGAGAACGACATCCCTGATTGATCTTCCCCAGAATTTCCGGAGTCTATCATACTCTCACCTAGAGTAATCGACGATAAGATATTACACACACAGCTATAAGATCATCATTATCCACATAAAACTTCAAATCATAGGAAAATGCATGCAGTATTGAACATAAAAAATAAATTGTTATAAGTTGTATTCCTTGCAATTATGTTATTATAATACTTCTTTCTCTGTTTTTCTGCTGTTTGTTATTTGATTTATTATTTTAACTTATTATGAAATTGGTTGATGTCAATGATTTTAATTGAACCATTTCTTTTATATCTTTTATAAACATCGCCCCGTAGGGATCCAGGTTAGAATAGGTCCTCAGTACCCCTTGCTTGTCGTAAAAGGCGACTAAATGAGGCGGTCCTTCGGATGAGACCGTATAAACCGAGGCCCCGTGTCAAAGCAGGTGTGGCACGATAAAGATCCCTCCCTGCTCAAAGGCCGTAAGTGCCGATCATAGGCCTAAATGTGCAGCCTTTCACCGGCACTGGTCACGTCTACATATCAGTGAAATATTATGGAGAGGGACGTTAAACAGTATACAATTTTATAAACATCAATTGCTTTTCTGAACATTGAAATTGATTAACTTATAGATAATAAGAAGCGATAAGAAGAAAACAAAATGATTAGATGAACTGATAAAAAACACAAGCTCTGAAATAATCTTATCATTTTGTTTTCTTCTTATCGCTTCTTATTATCTTTACGGAAAATATATAGTGTCCTGCGAATTATAACCTATATCTGATTAAATTCCATCTTTTGATTTTTTTTCCTTTTACATTGATGTCCATTTACTAAAACTTCGAAAATTAACAAGGACATTTACTACGCGGTCATAGGATTGACGGATTAATCACTTGATGATAAGTAAGGTGACATTCGGTTTTCAAACCCGTTAAGTTTTTTATTAATTCTAAATATCTTTTATTAACAATGAATTTCCTTGTCTTTTTTATATGTAAACAATAAACATATCTTTTTACGACATTTTACATCTCTTCTATAATGTCTTATGTTTCGGATAACAGTGAGTTCTTAAAATAAATGTTCAAATAAGCAATCAGGTAAAGAAACGATGCAAAGTTCATAGGTGCCAATTCCATGCAATAAGTGAAGTATTGATGTATTGCAGGAGTTGATGATTAAAGATTTTAATTCTCCAATTTGTTTAAGCTTCTACAATTGGAATACTTTTGTTCTTTTCCACCAGCATCTAGAAGTATTTTAGTCTAATTTTAAAAATTTTCCTGTCTGCACATGAATTTAGTAGCTGGGAGCTCCATGACATTCGATAACGAATTCATTCTTGGCTCTGTTTTCATGCAATGATTGTAAAAAATAGTTATGGTTTAGTCATATACCCTCAATCTGAATCACAATTCGTCTAGTGAAGTTTTATTACCGAACACCAGGAGGCGGTCGGTTATATGATATGACAGTTTGAATTCGTTGTGCGTTTCTGCGGAGTTAGAAGAATTTAAACACAAATACTGAACATTCATAAAATAGAATGTTGATACAGAGAGTTTAAATGTTTCACAAAATATGCACAATAATCATTAAAAAAAATTAAAATTGTGTAAATATGGGGTAAATGTTTCATCCAATCCTGATTGACAATCTCTGACATAACGGAGGTGCGGAGACGTGTTGGGCATGGTTTAAAACAAAGACACGCGTTATACAGTATACAAGTAAAAATACCACTACTGTAATAAATAATTTTACTTTCACTTTTTAAACAGGATTTGATGAATATATTCTAAAATATCGTGTATTATACATTTCCAATAGAAAATTCCAAATGATTGATTGACATTTCATCATCAGATAGAATTAAACGAGACAAAAATAATGCGCGTTTTACAGTATGCCAAGTTTTTTCCCGCCATATCTACGACAAGAGAAGAAATTTAGTGGCGGATCTAGAGGAAATGGGCAGAGAGGTTAACATCTCCTGAAAGCAAGCAAAAAGACCCACATATTTGTTGCGTTTTTATTGAATAAAACTATATATCTCTATGGTTAAGATAAGTTTGACTTTAGTTTAAATCTTTAAACGTAAAAATAGAAACATCAAACTTTCGACAGAGTTGGTTTGTACCAAACTGTGCATGGAGACGCAGATTGAGGGTAATGAGTAGTTTGCTTATGTATGTATTAATATATATGCATTATGTATTGGAGAAAATCCTGTAAAGTCGCATGCAAATGTTTAAGGTAAGGTAACAGGGATATCTTAATTAACAGATAAATATAAGATATATTAATAACAGATCAAGCATTCCAGTTTCTAATTGCTTTATTGAAAGGACCAATTGGTTTGCGGCCGATTTTTGTCGCTTGCGTCAATATATGTTTCTTGTTTACTTAGAAGCAACAGGTAAAAATCAAATTTCGTTAAAGCTGTCATTTTTTTGGATCGCCAGAAAACACCAAATCTTTGTATATTTATTGGAAAATAGGAAAAGTTATTTATCTTGAAGTTTAACAGGTTTCGTAGAAAGAGCTCACTCAAAATAAAACTTGTCTACAAACATAGTGGAATTCGAACCCACGCGAGACGTATACTTACTCTGCGACACTAAAGCAGAGACTCTTACCATTGCGATACTGTAGTATTATATAAACAATTTATTTATTAAGACATTGATTGGCTGAGCTTCATCAATGATGTTTCGTACCTTCAAACATAGGGTTTTAAGGATTTACAAAAATATATAAAATCTTATTTGTATTTTAATAGATTACTCTTGTAATTTATTCCTGATTTAATTAAAAATTACATATCCTATAAAGGATGCATTTAAGTGAAATATAATTAAAATAAATTTAATTCAATTCAGTATTTCTTTGAAATTGTTTAAACGTAATTTTTTCTGTTCCTGCTACACAATATCTGCTTAAGTTCTTGTCCAGTACCATCCCATACTGAGTTTATTATGCAATATGCTCTTTCATATAAATATCAATCTATTTTTTTTTTTTAGGATTTGCTTATAAAACTTGTATACTGAAAAAATATGAATTTATAGCAAATAGAAAAGTGGTGTTTGAAGCATTTAATATTTTGTTGTTTTTTTTTTTCAATTCTAAAAACTATTGGTCCATACTACATCGACTATTTCTTTATAAAATCTCATTTGCGGAAATGATGCAATGCTAACATTCATCCCCCCTCTCTCTCTCTCCTCATTGATCGCCACTTCACATTCTTTTTCTTTTACCTACCCAGGGTCCCGGAAGCTGGTCCTCCCAGAAAAAGCCTGAAGTTGTTAGTTTCATCAGCAACAGAGAACTGGTTGTATAATTCATAGAGCTTTGTCCCATTAGTCAGTGTAATGGAGACGTAGAGGGAGGAGTTCCTCCCCCTGGTAAGTTGATGAATTACGTCATTCCCTAAAATATGTTATAGACGTGTTAAATAATAAGCATTTATAAAGCAAAACATATTTTTTTCAGAAATGTTGTCATATAATTCAAGATACAATTGTAAATTTAATCAGAAATACCAAATTACCAATAACCTACTTGTTTTGAAATCAAAGTGAGGAAATCGTTTTAAATAATATGAGTTATCATGTTCGGCAAATAACGGAAATATCTGTCATCAACTCCGCGTATAAATAGTGGAATAACAAATACGAGGGTTGACCAAAAAGTTAGTGGATAATGACGTTTTCATGAAAATAAATGCTTCTATATAAATCTGTTGTATTTCAAAATATTTCTAATGAAAAAACAAGTCAGAATGATTTAGTTTTTATTGATGGAGCGTTATATTTGTTTAAAAATCGGGGTCTTTAGAGGTCGCAGATAGTGCGCACGGACCAAGGTTAAAATGATGTTAACTCTGATATAAAGATTTCGGATTAAAATGATCATTTTGTATATAAAACAAGTCAAAAATTAAAAAAAAAAATATGTAACACAAATAAAGAGGTTATTATCATTTTTTGATATCTTTTAAATATCTTTTAATATATAGACAACGAAAATACACAAAGAAAACCTTAACAAGTACGTGTCAAAACTCGACAGAAAAAGTGGCGTCGTACGTCGGCACGGTCAGCGTCCGGTCAAAAATTAAGTACTATAACGGTAGAAACGATTTAAGAAATAAAATATTTGTTAAAACAACTCAAATTATTGAAATATATTGATTGTATTGATTTGGGATTCGTATATAAGATTTTTCAACTCCATGTACAAATTTGAAGACACTACAAGAATTTAAAAACCCATGTAATTAACTGTAAATGGAGATTTCTATTCATGACGTTGTTATAAATCTAGCGCAACGTCGGACTGGGCTGTTCAGTTTGGGTATGCAAACTGTTAATTAAACTTAATTTAGATGACGCTCGTAAATTTTTGTGCATTGTTTTGAATCTTAAAAAATTAAATAAATTATAGCCTATACTTAAAGATTATTGCTAGGATTTTGAAGTGCGTTGCTCCTTAAAAAAGAAATGTAGTGTGTGTCAATGAACATGTGTTAAGTCAAAATCCAAATGTTTGACGTTATAATGAAATTAGCGTAATGTCAGACTGGTCCGTGCGCACAATCTGCTATCTTTTAAGACCCCGATTTTTACAAAAATATTAAGTTTCATCAATGAGATTTAAATCATTCTGACTTATCTTTTCATGAGAAATATTATTATATACAATAGAAGCATATAGAACCCTTTATTTTAACAAAAACATCATTGTCCACGAACTTTTTGGACAACCCTCGTAGTATGGAAAACGTCAGGCACTATTGACAAAAAGATAATTTGTATTTGCTGATAAATGTATATAATTTACCAATCCAATAGGAGTCGTTAGGACTCCCGAACCCTGTCTTATACTCTGCCCAGTTTCTGTTGAATCTCACCGCTCCACTGACCCGCTTCTGGATTGCCTAGAGATTTATGTATAATGGTGGTTATAAATAAAAGCAGTAAAGTTTTTGATTTCTACGTTATACTGTGAACAATTTTCTAATGGATTATTCATAAAAATAATCTTTTAAACGTGCTTATTTTTTAAGTTTTAATATTCGCAATTTTTCAAGTAATGAGCTTTTAAAAAATCTTGCATACAAAAATCTACTTAATATATACTTATCTCAACAACTATTTCAAGTAAAAATAAAACATTTATGATATTATAAAAAAAAGTAATCAACTTAGTAATGAAACATATTTACTGTTAGAATGTTTGTATCTTTAAGCAAATTAGGTTAGAAAAAAATTCAATGACCATTTAACCCATTTCTCGTAGTTTCGCCAAAAAAAATTTCACATCTGTTTTAAAATCAAAGATTTAGAAATTACAATCGAAAAACAATAGTTAGAACATTAAATTGATGAGTTGAGAGAGAGAGAGAGAGAGAGAGAGAGAGAGAGAGAGAGAGAGAGAGAGAGAGAGAGAGAGAGATCTAGCCTTCAACCATCATATCACAGAAGACACTGATCTTGCTTTCAACACCAGACGGATTTATCTTATATACACCAGATTTTGTAATACCATTTAACCCATTACTCTTTTGTTTCGCCTGAAAAAAATTTTACATCTGTTTATAATGGATGGATGGATGGAGAGATGGATGAGATGGATGGATGGATGGATAGATGGATGGATGGATGGATGGATGGATGGATGGATGGATGGATGGATGGATGGATGGATGGATGGATGGGCGGATGGATGGATGGATGGATGGATGGATGGATGGATGGATGGATGGATGGATGGATGGATGGATGGATGGATGGATGGATGGATGGATGGATGGATGGATGGATGGATGGATGGATGGATGGATGGATGGATGGATGGATGGATGGATGGATGGATGGATGGATGGATGGATGGATGGATGGATGGATGGATGGATGGATGGATGGATGGATGGATGGATGGATGGATGGATGGATGGATGGATGGATGGATGGATGGATGGATGGATGGATGGATGGATGGATGGATGGATGGATGGATGGATGGATGGATGGATGGATGGATGGATGGATGGATGGATGGATGGATGGATGGATGGATGGATGGATGGATGGATGGATGGATGGATGGGATGGGATGGTGGATGGATGGATGGATGGATGGGATGGATGGATGGATGATAGATGGATGGATGGATGGATGGATGGATATATATAATGGATGGATGGATAATGGATGGATATATGGATATATGGATGGATGGATAATATATATATATTCGTTAAAGCAAATTTAAATTGTTATAACAAATTAAAGAATTCGTTTAAATGAATTCATTTTGTTTGAAAAAAAAAATAGAATTCGTTAAAACGAGTTTAATTCGTATTAAGAAATCCTATTACAGATTAAAATCATTATAACGAATTCAAATAAATTGTTATAACGAATCAATTTGTAAAAACAATCTCGACAATTCGTTTTATCGAAATCAAAAAATATTTTTCGATAGGTCCAAAATGGGCTTTCATGGTTTTTAAAAATGCGACCCTCTTTCAATTTTAAAAGAAGGTTACCTTGCTTATTCAATTATCCCTTAGACCCTCGCCGTACTTTACACTTGAATGAACAAAGACAACTTTTTTTTCACACTTTCATGATGGTTAATTGGTAGTTGCCTTAAAAATATATTGTATTATTTTACAAAGAATATTTATTGTATGTCTTTTCTATAAAGCTACACTTTAAGAATAGTGTTGGCACTGTAAGTCAAACATAACATTGTACTGAACTCATTTAATTGATCAAAATAAATTGTTTTAAATTTTCAAGGAACTCTAAAAGTATTCTACTACATGTATTCTGAAGTTTCTTTTTTCCTTTAGGAGTACAAAAAATCACGGCATTTACTTTATTAAGTCTTTCCACCTTTCTGTGGAAAGACTTCTTGAAATGCTTATGTTTACTATTATTATTAGGTCTTTCCACCTTTCTGTGGAAAGACCTCTTGAAATGCTTCTGTTTCTTTTTATTTTATTTCTCCCCTTAGCTTTTGAGACCGTAAGACTTATCGAAAAACTTTCTAGTTCATGATACTGGATATATAAAGTTATTCCGAAAAACGACCCCGTATGTTTTAACTTCGACAGCTTACGCAGTTATTGGCCCTTTCACCGTTAAGCTTGTTATCGCTACTCCTCAGAAACCGTAAACCGTAGAGATACAAAACCTTCACCATTGTCTTGAACTAATTTAGGAGACTTTTCAATCTATTCATTGCGAAAGTTTTCTTTGACCCCTTCAATGAGTAATTGCCCCTGAAAGTTTATAAATTTTACAAAAAATTAAAAATTTTCAAAACGAAAAGTCGTAGAGACATGAAACTAACTGCATAACATTCAATGACCTTTTTCCTTCAAATTCAATTCAAGGTCAAAGTTCAAGGTCATTCCAAATATGAGAAATAAATTTCTCTTAATAGCTCTTATGTCCTTAAACATATACTTTCTATCTTATGTCTTTAATATGTACTTTTGAAACTCTTTAGAAGATATAATTCTTGGCCCCTAAGATTGACCCTTTAAAAAGTTGTTGCCCCTTGTGCTAAAAACCCTTGTTATCGCTACTCCTCTGAAACTGTTAACCGTAAAGGTATGTAACCTTCACCAATGGCTTTGCCTAATTATGGGGACTCTTCAATCTATTCATTGCGAAAGTGTTCGGTGACCCCTTCAATGAGTTATTGCCCCTGAAACTTTTTTAATATTACAAATAATTAAAAATTTTCAAAACGACAAGTCGTAGAGACATAGGACCAACTGCATAAGATTCATTGACCTTTGACCTTCAAATTCATGTAAAGGTCAAAGGTCAAGGTCATTCCAAAAATGGAAAATTTAGCTCTTTTTATATCTCTTTTGTCTTTCAACATATACTTAATGTCTATGCATCATTAATATGTACTCTTAAAACTGTTTCAAAGATTTCACTCTTGTCCCCTAATATTAACCCTTTTAAAAGTTATTGCCCCTTGTGTGAAAAACCTTGTTATCGCTACTTGTCCGAAACCGTAGACCGTAGAGACACCAAACCTTTACTAATATCTTAAGGGTTTTTAGGTCTTACTTTACTGTATAAGTGCAAATGTATCTGATGAACCCTTATATGAGTTATTGCCCTTTAAGTTCTTTGTACTTACTATAAATCCTCATAACTTGAAAACTATAAGGCATACAAGCATGGGGGCAACTGCATTGTGACCCTTGACCTTGAATATTTTTTCAAGGTCAAAGGTCAAGGTCATTCTTTTTTTTTTTTAAATTTTCATTTTTTCTATGCTTCAAGAGAGTTCTGGTTTCTTTTTTATGGAATTTAATTTTTAGGAGTCATGTATAAAACAAATTTAAAATTCAAAGAAGGTGGAAAGACCTCTTATTGTTCTGTGAACAATAAGTCTCCTAGTTATTTTTCTTCCCGGACTTTTGAAACCGCAAGACTTATCGATAAACTTTGTAGTTCATGATATTGGATATTAAAAGTTATTCCGAAAAACGACCCCCCGTGTTTGAACTTTGACCCCTTTCAAAGTTATTGCCCCTTTCACAATAAATGCTTGTTATCGCTACTCCTTTGAAACCGTAAACCGTAGAGATACAAAACCTTCAACAATGTCTACGACTACTTTAGGAGACGCTTGAATCTATTCATTGCCAAAGGATTCCTAAACCCCTACAATGAATTATTGCCCCTGAATGTTTGCGAAGTTTACGAATATCAAGAACTTTTCTAAAACAACAAGGCGTAGAGACATGGGACCAACTGCAAAAGATTCATTGACCTTTCACCTTAAAATATAGGTCAAGGTCAAAGGTCAAGGTCATTTAAAATATGTAAAATTAAGCATTTTTTATAGCTCTTTTGTTCTTAACCAAATTCTAAACATCTTTTCAGCTTCAATATGTACTCTTGAAACCATTTCAGAGATTTCATTCTTGTCCCCTAAGATTGACCCCTCTAAAAGTTAGTGCCCCCTTCAGTGAAAACCCTTGTTATCGCTACTCCTCTGAAACCGTAAACGGTAGAAGTACGAAACCTTCAACAATGTCTGCGACTAATTAAGTACACTTTCCAATCTATTCACAGCAAAAGAATTCGTAAACCATGTAAGAAGTTATTGCCCCTGACAGTTTACGATGTTTACGAAGAACTTAAAACTTCTTAACGACAAGTCGTAAAGACATGTGGCCAAGTGTATGAGATATTTTGCCCTTTGACCTCGAATTTAAGGTCAAAGTCAAAGGTCAAGGTCATTGAATAAAGTATGAAATTGCTTATACATGTTTATTTTTACAAAATGAATTTGACCTTTGACATTGATAGTTGACCTTGACCTTTGACCTTGACCCTTACTCAAGAGTTTATAACATATTTATTATTTATATAGCTTTGATCCAGCCCCAAGTGGTAAACTCATGTTTATGAGAGTTTTTTTTTTTTTTTTGGATGACCTTGACCTTTGACCTTGATACCATCAAATTTATCAAATATCCTTATAAAACTGTTTTCAAATGTCTCTCTGTACCCGTCAAGCCTGACATATAAAAAAGTTCTTCCTACTTGTGAGAAATCCTTCATATCTTTATGCATTCAAAACCATTGACCGTAGCGATGCAAAACCTTAAACAGTGTCTTCGACAACTTTAAAAACTATTACCTTCAAATTTAGGTCAAGGTCAAAGGTCAAGGTCCTTCAAAACACATATTATTAGGTCTTTCCACCTTTCTGTGGAAAGATCTCTTGAAATGCTTATGTTTATTATTATTCTTTTTCCGCCGGACTTTTGAAACTGCAAGACTTATCGAAAAACTTTGTAGTTCATGATACTGGATATCAAAAGTTATTCTGAAAAATGACCCAACGTATTTGAACTTTGACCCCTTACTCAGTTATTACCCCTTTTG